ACACGCACAGGTTTCCCTGTGACCGAAGTCAGCACTGGGGGGTGTGAGATCACTGGGCTGAACAGGTCTGATGCGGGAGAAACTGTCCATCAATCCGGCCATGCCATGTCTGCACATCACTGCACTTGCCTCCTCCCCAGGGCACCACATCTCAGCCAGCACTGCTGTCCTAGTGCTCTGGACTGAGTCACCCTCACAGGTGTGGAATGCATCCTGGTCAACCTGTGACAGACAGCGGCCGGCTGGGCCCTTTTACATACTTATTGGTCATAGGTATTTCCTCCTAGGCAAGATGTCTCTTAAGATCTTTGGCCTATTTTGTAATCATTGCTGAAAAGCAGTGTTGATGGGGGCATCTCTATCTTGCTCCTGCCCCTAGCAAGAAAGCATTCAGGTCTTCACCATCAACTGTGATCATCTACAGTTTTGTTGACATCCTTCCCCAACCAACCTCTTTATCCCTGTTTGGCGAACACTTTTCACAATGAATTGGTCTTGGACTTGTCAAGTGCTTTTCTTGTGTGTATTGATATGACCATATTGCTTTTACTTCCTAGCCTGTTGATGTGACAGAATTATTTTAAGTGATTTTCTATTGACAACTAGGCCTTTCACACCTGGGATGGCCTACTTCCTTACAGCGTATAATTTTTCATACATGATTGGGCTCTATTTGCTAGTATCTTGTTAAAGATTTTCGCATCTCAGTTCATGAAATGGTGGTCTCTTGTTTTCCTTACGTTTATCTGGCAGGTAGCTGTCCATTAAATCACTTTATACATAAGAATGGTCCTCCAGCAAGAAGGGGGTGGGGGATTTCGGAGCCTAAGACATCAGTTTTGTTTTGCTGGCTTTCTTAATGACAGACATAACAAAAGCTTCTCTGTATCTTCTGAAAGAGATGGCACTTAATTTGTTCCTTGAGTATTTGGTAGAACTTACATAAAAATTGGAGTTTCTGAAGGGAACTGGATGATGACTGAGACAGTGGAACAAAAGGACTAGATTTTCCACATTTCGTTTTTCAGTATCACTCGGTATGTTTCAAATTACAACACAAGAATATAAATAAAAACTTTCAAATTTTCTGTTTGAACACTAAACAGCCATGGAATGGAATTACCAAGTATTTGAGCTTTCTGAAAATTAGATTGCAAGCCCCATGGTTATCTGAAATCACAAAGCTCTATTTTAAAATAAGGAGCTAGGATTCAATCAATCTACTGTGTTTTTAATGAATGCTGAAAGTGCCTCACATATGTGTCTCTGCCACTTAACATAGTAGTGTGTGTGCGTGTGTGCGTGTGTGCGTGCGCGTGCGCGTGCGCGTGCGTGTGCGTGTGCGTGTGCGTGTGTGTGTGTGTGTGTGTGTGTGTGTGTGTTTAACCAGGAAGTGGGAGAAAGCTCTTTGGTCTTAATCCAGGTTTCAGGTGAGGCTCTATGTGAAGACTTGAAACAAGGCCAGCTCTCGGCGGGGCTTCTGAAAGCTAGCCATCCAAGACATTTTATTTTGCTTTCCCCATTTGTGAGCTGGTGAGCACCTCTTTATCGATACCTGTACTGACGACTGAACTCCAAATCTAATGTGTCTATTCTAATGAGATCCTACCCACTCTCAGCACCACCCCCTTATGACTCAATTTCCATGCAGGATGCCAAACTCTACAGAGTCTGCTGCAACCAGAACACCCAAAGGAGACTGGCTAAGAAAGTGGCAGGCAGGTGTTCATCTGGAGCACACAGAACAAGACCAAGTTTCTTTCTCCAAGTCCATCTCTCCCTATTACTGTTCTCTAAGTTACTATTAAGGTAATTCGGTAATTTGAGACTCTTTGCAAATGAAAGTATTTTCAATTATTTAAAAACACTCTATTAGAAATGGGAAGGTGACCTAGTATTCAGCCTCATTAGCATATTCATTAATAATTACATGAGTAGATACTATCTCTGTACCTTGTAATTCTGCTCTATACACTGGGATCTCTCTGCCTGAGGTACTTCCCTACTCTGTTGATTTGCTAATAACATGCAAAAGTGTACATTCAACTCTCTCCTAGGACCACTAAGTGAAGATGCTGGCAGTGAAAGCGAGCCTTTTAAAGGAGTCTTTACGTTTGATCACCATCATTAACATATTCATTCAAAATAAAGCTCTCTGTGACTCACCGTGCACCTCATTACTAGTAAAAAGAAACAGGTCTCTTGAGAAAATGTCCTCTGTCCTACATACACGGCCTCCCATCAAAACTGAACTCAATATCCATGGAAGGAAAGTGTCCTTGCAGAACACAAGGAAGGAAGCGCTTCACCCACAACACACAAACGGTGATGAAATGTACGAAAACAAAACAACGGCTTTCAATTTTTTTTTTCCTACCTTCTCTGTGGAATGATGGCAAGCCTGCCAAGCAAGACCACATCATAAAGGCCGCTCAGAGCGAGAGAGCCGGCTAAGTGGTTAACAGTGCTTGATCCTCAGCCTTCAGGAAGACCATACTTCCAATCCCAGCACCCCACCCTACCCCCCACGGCTGGCCTCCAGCCCATAAGGCAGGCTTGGTTACCCACGTTCTTTTATAACCCCCGTGTGGTCAGGGGCAAAGACTGGAGGATCAGTGGGGTCTGTTGACTGAAAACATAAACTCTCCAAGTTCACAATGACCCTGCCTCAAAGGATAAGACAAAGAACAGAAGAGGCCTGACACCCTGCAAGCAGGAGCGCATGCACACACCACACACACACACACACACACACACACACACACACACACACAGCTGGGCTGTGTATTTGCTTTTCTCACATAGTACCAAAGCCTCATCTTACACAGTGAGGCATGTATCTAACGGCCATCTATTAGCAGATTTTAAGTATCTGAGGTTCAATAAGAGAAACAGCCACCTCTAAAAGCCGAGCACTTTCCACAAGAGGCTCCTCCTTAGACAGACTGACTCTTATTTAGGTCAATAGTTCTCAACCATATCAGATTCTATGTAGCCCTTCTGTAAAACACTTTCCAATTTCTACTGTACCACTCTGAAATGCAATGAATAATCTTCCTACAGACAATTTCAAACAAATCCATCTATCCTAAATAAAATAATAAATGGAAAGGGAAAATGAAAATAACTTATAAAAAAGCATATCAACATATGAAGGCTGGGGCAAAATAATTAGCAACTAGACATGAATGCATTGCAAACCTGCTTATGATGCAATGTTCCAAAACCATAAACAACTTCTAATCAAGTTGTGAACAGAACAAACCTTCCTTTAATTTATACAACAGGAATGTAGAGAAACAGATACAAGAAAATCCAGTCTTGGTTAAAACTGTGACTATAGAGTGAAAATTTCAGGCTCAGATAATTACAAATGTTACAGGAATGTCAAGCACGATATTCCTATGAAGGACATAGGAACATTCTTTGTTCAGTGAGTCCCGCACATAGCAAAAAGTATAGCATCCCAGCCCCCATCCACCACATGTTAGTGGTTAATCCCAATTACAAACCACTAAGGGGGGGGGGGGAAGCTTGCTAATTTCCCCCTAGAGAGCAAACTCCCTGAACCAACCAGCTTCCCCCCCCCCTGCATTTAGGTATGAATCACAGTATTGGAGTTCAGCTCTATTACCTATGAACTATGTGATCACTGGCTAATGAGTTAAGTTCTCTAAACCTCTGTTTCCATGGTATCAAAGAATCAACACTCCAGGGCTGTCTGGAGTGTCAGGATGACTCAACAACACTGTTAGCAGCACAGGGTGGGTGGTTTACAACCCGTGGCTTTTTGAAATAGGAACAAGGGGGCTATGTCCTGCAAACAATAACAAAAAGCATCAGTGCAGAAAAAAGCAGAAGAAACTAAATAAGAATGAAAGAAGTCCAAAATTTAAGGGATAAGTTACAAGGGCCCAGGGGTGGGGAAATGCAGATAATTGTCAGGAAAATCAAGGTCAGAAAGGTAGAGAATGGGGAATAAAGTATTCAAGATTAAAAAAAAAATAAATCAGTCAAAGGCACAAAAGCACAGCTTGGTTCAGGGAAGAGAGGCAGGGAAAGGCAGATAAAGTAAGGGTCAGGGAGAAAGGCTGTAAAGACATTACAGGACCTTGCCCATGGAAGGGTATGAAGGACACTGAGTGTGCCAGAAAACCTGGGCTTAGATGGCAAACGCGACTCCCCGATAACGCTGAATAACGGCCAAACTAAATAATTCAGAACAAACACAAATTATCATTGCAGCCCCTGAAATAAAACCACAAACAAAGTCTTAATGTAAACAAGCAAAAAAGAGCCCAAGAGCAGAGAGCAGCCTTAGTTCTTTTCTTCCTGGTTCTGGGGATGGAATCCGGCAGGCCTCGGGCTCCAGGGTGCTGGGATCACAACAGGCCTTCACCACCATGCCTCGCCTGCTCCTTTCTTTAATAACCAAAATTCTTCTTAATTTATAGGCCTCATGAACTAAAAGGAACTCAGGATAACCTATCCCTGTCCCCTGATACCATTCCAGGCAAATCCGAGCCCTTCCTAAACACATTAATTAGCAATACCTTACATCACCCTTGAAAAGCAGGAGGTAAGCTAGAGTATTATTAGCCTCTTTTTTATTATGGGGAAACCGGGGAACAAAAAGATTAAATTACAGTATGTCACAAAATGAGCCATCATATTTTCTAGTGCTTTAATTAAAGGCACCAAGCCCACATTACAGACTTCCCAGCTTAGAACTTTTACTACCGCCTCAGCCGGGGGACGGAGAGAAAAACACCTACTACGGTAACTTAAAGGTTATTTTCTCAGTCTGGTGGTCCTCGTCACCCACAACTCAGGAGTTTCAAATTTCAGACCGTGTAAACAGTAACCTACCCCTCCCCCCCCCAAAAAAAACCCAAAAAAAACACACAAACACACACACCGGAAAGAAAAAAAAAAAAAATGAGGACACTTGTAAACAGCACCACGGGTCGGAAATCCTGGGGCCACGTTTTACTCGGGCTATGTGGCAGGCAACACCGGAGCCGGCTGGTGCCGACGGAAAAGGTGCCCCAGGGGCCCCCAGCGCGGCCTGGCCGTCACCGCACGCCCATCACTCCAAACATGACCCCAAACGCTCTCCCTTGGCCCCCGCATTGCACCAACGAGCCTCGCGGTACCAAGCCCGGCCTGGGCGAGCTAGGCTAGGCCCTAGCTGCCGGGCTTCCGTGCGCCCCGGAGCCGCACCTAAGCCAGGCACTTCCCCACCCCGGTCCCCCCGCGCCCGGCCTCCGCTCCCACGCGTTCTCACCGCTCGACCGACCGGCGTCCCCCGACGCAGGGAAGCGAGCTAGCCGCGCAGGTCGGTGGAGCGCAGCGCCCGTCGGGGTCCCGGAGCCGCCGCCTATCAGCGGAGCGCAGGGGCGGGGCCGGCGGGGCCGCGGGGCCACAGTGAGGCATGTATCTAACGGCCATCTATTAGCAGATTTTAAGTATCTGAGGTTCAATAAGAGAAACAGCCACCTCTAAAAGCCGAGCACTT